GCGATGCCAGTCTCAACGAGGATGCGGTCCTACTTGAGGATACGCAGATGGATGCCGCTGACGCTGCAGAGGACGCGTCTGCACAACTGGTGGTGGCCATGCAGAGACAGGCGATGGCCCAACGACGGAGCAGGAAGGAAGCAGTCAAGCAACAGGCGAGAGCCTGTGCGGAACAGGCCTGGGATGACTGGGCCATGCATGTGGAGTTGCAGAGTGACCAAAGTCGAACACGAACACGCAAACGCACCTTCGTTGTCCAAGATGAGGTTCGTGATGTTGGAACACAAACGGGAGATGAAGTCTTGCCCTCTGCCACGTCGGGAGCGTGTAGTTCGGGTGACCCTTGGCAATCGCGTCCGGTGACCGCATCTAATCGTGCGCTGGAGCGGAAGCCAGTGAACGTAGAGACTCTGGAACAAAGAGCAGGGAAGGTGATCTTGGCAGCACTGAGAATGCCGCCTCTGGGCCAGCTCGGGGACATGCTGAGAGAGAGCTTGAGGGTGTTGCTGAGTTGGGGGCTTCCACTTCTCTGGGGCACTGGGGATAGCGGGTCTTCTGCCTGCTGTTGCCGATCTGCATGAACATGCTACCGCCATGGCTAACCCGATGGCTGCAGAACAGGCGATGGGAGGTTGTGGTGTGCCAGAGCATGTTCACTTGGACCGTGTGACTGAGGGCGATGGGGTGACTGAAGGCAACGTGGTTGTGTGCAATGTGCAGGATGACCATCAGTTGTTTGGGCATCTTCCGCCACCAACTGTCAATACCATTCTTGATGAAGGGGATGATGATGTTGTTGCAATGGGTGAGGGTCTTCCTCCAGGGCAAGGTTGTTTGCACTCTGAGAATGTGGGCCTTGCGGCCATCAACATGAGCAGTGTTTGTTCGCTTCCCCATCCGTGTGCACTTGATGAGGTGAGTGTTGGTTCGGAGAGTGTTGAGGCTTCGGTTCCTGGTCTGCCGCCTGCGCTATCTGAAGGTGATCCTGCTGGTGTTCCTGAGCCTGGGGTCCGTAACGACCTGTCCTGAATGTCCTGTATGTAATGTACGCTGCATCTGCAAGAGGTACTGAGGGGCTGCTGTTCGCTACTTCTTTTGCAGTCCGGCTGGGCAACCAAGACCCCCAAGCTAATGCTAGACCGAAAAGGCCATTGGGACTGTAAAAAAACCCAAATCGGAAACAAATAGAAAAACCTACAAAGTGAACACTCCCAAGTCCTCGGCCACAAATCAACAGCAAACAGAAAACCTAAACCCCTGCTAAAGTTAAAAACCATCACAAGAACTACAACCTGAAGAAACCTAAGTCCTAAAAACAAATCCAGGCGCCGCTGCAAACCCTACACCCTGAACTCCCCTAACCCCTACAGCCAAAACCAAAACCCATGCAAACCCCGTTTGATGTTGATGATGCTATGGGTTTGGCTCTGAACAAAAGCCTTGCTAACAGGCTCTGAACAAGAGCCTTGTTTTGCTCTGCTCTGCTGCTGTTGCTGCTGCTGCCACTGCCACTGCCACTGCTGCTGTTGCTGCTGTTCTTTTTGTTCTTGTTGGGCTGTGCTTGTTGTAGAACCCAAAATATACAGATATACTTGAATTCCCTCCCCCCGCTTCCTTCCATTCACCCCAGGCTGTTCTTCAGAGCCCAGTAGGCAAGATCTCTATGATTTCAGACAACGTGTGCGCAGAGCATGTGATTTCAGGAGCTGAGATTGATTGAAAAACACATTTCTTACAACTTCAAATGAGAGAAATTTGAGATCCACAGATGGACCCCATGGATTTCCAGAGTGTAGCTTCCAAAGAATAATGTCAGCCAAAAGGAAGATCCAAGGATTTCGATCGAAAGTAATTTCAAGCTGCCCACATGAATTTGATATCACAGCTTCGGCTGGATCTTGACACACCGCCCCCTGAATCTCCTTGCAGCATGGTCTACCTTTCAGAAAGCATGATCTTTTTTTCCGTTCAACTTATCCTGCACAGCTATCCTAGCTAAGAATTGTGTTGCAAATTACTTGCCAAAGGCTTCAGGATATTCCTGAAGCTCTTGCGCAAGCAAAGAAGAGCCCGGGGGAAGTACCACAACAATGGTAACAACCACAACCACAACGAGACCAAGAAGAACAACAGCAGCAGCAGCAGCAGTTGCATTGGCAGCTGCGGTGGCAGCAGCAGCAACAGCAGCAATATCAGTAACAGCAGCAGTGGAAGTGGCAGCAGTTGCAACAGCAGCGGAGCAGAGCAAAACAAGGCTCTTGTTCAGAGCCTGTTAGCAAGGCTCTTGTTCAGAGCCAAACCCATAGCATCATCAACATCAAACGGAGTTTACATGGGTCTTGGTTTTGGCTGTAGGGGTTAGGGGAGTTCAGGGTGTAGGGTTTGCAGCGGCGCCTGGATTTGTTTTTAGGACTTAGGTTTCTTCAGGTTGTAGTTTTTGTGATGGTTTTTAACTTTAGCAGGGGTTTAGGTTTTCTGTTTGCTGTTGATTTGTGGCTGAGGACTTGGGAGTGTTCGCATATATGTAAGTTTTCTATGTGTTTCCGATTTGGGGTTTTGAAATTCGGGTTTTTAATAAGTAGGTTGTCTATTTGCTTTTGTATTGGGGTGGTGGAATCTCACCCCCCCCAAATCAAAAGCCAGGACCCCCAAATCAATTGCAAAGCCTTTCTTAGCTAGTCAAATCAATTGGTTTGGAACCGGCTGATTTTCTTCCATTTCCATGCTGCCTTCGACAAGGAGCCACGCATTTTGTCAGCAGACCCAAGCTTTGGGTCGGACCATGATCCAGGGACGCTGGAAACACCAACAAACAGCTCGCATGTATGTGGCATGTGGACGATGCCCGTGCAGCTCTCGTACAGTTTCTGTTGCCCGCCTGCACCAAAGCTCTTCAGACTTGTTTGGCATCTTTGTGACGAGTGGCTCTGCCAGTTGACTTGTATGCCGACGGTTGGACGTGGTGTCTGGGTGTGACGGCTCCGGGAGAGATGGCTACAGCCTGGGTGGGTAGAACATTTTGTTGTTTGGGCTCCGTCAGGGATCCTACACCCAAGTTGACTGGATTTCCTGTCAGCCGCTCGGGGAAGAAAGGTTTTCTGCTTTTGCGGCACGCTGTGACGCGCACTTTTGGTGATTTGAATGAGAACGCGCCCCCTCTCCAACAACAAAAGCACAACAAGAAATGAAACGCGTACCGAAGTGAGAGACACGGCAGGAGTGTACACCCGAAGATAGGGTTCTGGCTAGAACTCCGACATCTCCTGGCTTGCATGCCAGATATGCAATTTGTTGTTGATGGAATATGGCACACCGTGGCAGACCTCCATAGCGCTGTCTGTGAAAGTTTTTGTCGAGCGGTTTCTGACGGCATACATGCTATATGCATAAGGCTCTGTCACGATGATCATGTCAAACGACCTGATGATGCCAACCCGGGGGACCGCGCCCGTTCTTGAAAGAATTTTCAACCCCGGTAAGCCGGGACCCTTCGGTTCGGGTTGAGAGCTGCAAAGCTGTAGCGTGCTGTGCAATTCGAGAGTGACATCATTTGTTTTCTTTTGGTTTCCTTGGCCTTGCCAACCCTGCTTGAGAGCTGCAGGTGGTGGCGCAGATTGAGAACAACAAGGTCGCCTCAAGCAGAATGCCGAGGAGAGCTGCAGAAAATCAAGTTTCATGTCTCTGCCCAGGCCCGCCGCGCAGAAGCTCGGAGGGAGTACATCGAAGCGACCAAGCCCAGACATCTTGACACCTTTCGCTCTATAACATGTTGCCACGGCATCATGAAGATCCTGAAGATCCTAAGGCTGCATCCTCGCACTCCTTCCCGCTTTTCACGGAGACCTTCATCTCGCTTCCAGAAGTGGAAGAGCCGGGGGCCCAGCGTTGCTATTCTTCACAAGGGCAGGCTTTGTGTCCTTAACCAAGAGGTACGAAAGACAGCGCAAGGAGCACTGGAGGATGGAGCTGATCAGTATCTTGGAGTGTGAGAAACAGAGCTTTTAGGTGGAAAAGGGTGTCTTGAGCACATAGATGCAGGCGTCTCAGGCGAGGCATGAAATCCCTCCAGTCCCGCTTTCATCCCAAGTACCACCTTCTTCGGAGTCTGTGTTGACTCTTAACACAAGACCGTCCTCATCTTCCCGTAACTTCACACGTCGCGCGTGTCTTAATCAGAGCAGATGTGCAGCCCCGGCAAAAAACTCTTGTCAAGCAGGATGGAGCTTGATCAGCAAATGGCCGGAAACTCGCGGGGGATGCTTGCGCAAGCAGGGGCCAGTCTCTCGGAGTGTGCATGAGCCCATGGCGGGGACTCAGGCGACCAACAAGATCTTACAGAATTTGGAGCTGAAGAAGCATCATGACTGCTTCCCAGTTAAATCTGACACTTGACAGAACTGCAAGCGAGAGAAGGGAGAAGCAGTCTCAGGACATGGCTCTGGCCTCGTACAAAGAGAACGTGAAGCGGACGTGGGGAACCAAGAAGATGTCAGAGGTCAGAAGGAGATGAGACGAAAATCCCCAGGACGAAAGCACGGCGGGAGGAGCGCCATAGGCTGGCCTTGCAGGGTCGGGAGTTGGCCAGAAGCTTAGCAGGCTTAGCCTCAACCCTCTGCTCACTGGTGAACTTTTTTTGAATTTGAAGCTCAGGTGGCCTCCTGGGAGAGGGACATCCGAATCAAGGATCTGAAGCGGGCAATGGAGTTCGGCAAGGACCGCGGTGCAGAAGTGCAGAAGTGCAGCTGCAAACTCACAGTGGATTCACAGTGGAAGCCCAGCGGCCCAGGATGTTGTAAGAGAGATCGATGACCCGGCCCTGAAGGTGAAGTAAAGTGCTCCCACCAAAGGTGGTGAGAACGTCTCACCTGGTCGTCTCACCTGTGCACTGTGTGGAAAGGGAAGGGAAGCCTTATGCCTGAGCTCTCTGCATGTAGGTATACCGTGGCATTGTGGCATGCTGTTTAGCAGCTTAGCACTTGAGCTAACTTGGAACTTTGGAGGTGTGGTTGCACGGCTGATCAAGTCCTCTGCGGCCCTTGTTGGAGCCATCCAGGACCTGACCGGGGACAGGAGGGGAAGAAATATGGAAAGTATGGAAAGTATGCACTGATTGGAGGCCACGGAGCTCCCGACGAACGTCCAGATCCTGAAGGACCAGCTTGGCAGCCTCAAGGCGAGATTTGCAAAAGCTGAACTTCTGAACGGTTCAACGCCTCAAGCAAACGCTGAATTCGTTAGCAAGCTAAAATCTCTGAGAGATGTTTTTCTTTGGGGGGGCGGGGGCTGGGAAGCCATGCCGAACTCCAAGCAAAAAAGCTGGGCATCAGCATGACATTTCCAGTCCTGTTTTCAGCCCGCTGTCCACGTTTGCTAGAGTCACCCGCTGCAATTAAATGATGGCTGCTCAGCATTCGAGATTGGAGATTCCGTCGTCTTCAAAGTGGCAGAGAATCAGCTAGGCATCCCACAGGCAGCGCAGGGATGCACAAAATCTGAAGGAACCAGGATTGTCAGATCACGAATCGCGCCTGTGCAGGTGTCCTTTGCCCGGAAGCTGGAGGCCCTCACCCAGGAGAAGAGAGGGAAAGAGATGGGGAAGAAGTGAGTGAAGCGCTTTTGTTGAAGCCTCCCCACCCTCCCTCTCTCTCTCTCTCTCTCTCAGGAGCGGCAGAGGCTCCTGGAGGTCGCGTGCTAAGTCAACACCCCCGTAGCCACCGTACCAACAGCTGAAAGCCTCCACTGTTGCAGCAGTGTTTAAAGGAAAAGGTAGAGCCGGCCAGAGCTTTTCCGCCAAAGGTAAGTGCTCGTAGGTGAAGGTAACAGGCTGGAGCCCTTCTTTACATTAAAGCTACTTGTAAAGCTACTTGTGCTTTCAATTCGAAAAGAGCCGACGGTAGAGCTTTGCAGGTTTGGTTTTGGGCTGCAAAGCAAGGTAGAAGCACCTCTGCCAGTCCCTGGTACTCCGGAGTCTGACGCAGAGTGCGCAGGGCAGAGCTTCAGAGCAGATGTTCAGCAGATCTTGCCCTAAGGGTCCATGTACCCAATAGTTGGGTACTTAGGGTTTAGGTAATAGTAATTATAGTACAGGTTTTGGGTAAGTATATGATTATTTGGTACTTGGACCCTTAGGGTTGGCGGCATTCTAATTCTGCACATGTTCGCATGGCATTCGCATGGTAAAGTAGGTATCTCGGCTTTGTCACCAGCTTCCAGCCAGCCTGGCACCTACAATTGGGATAATGGAAAAGAACATGGAAACTACTGTAGTATATTGGGGTTCTATAGGTATAATGGAAAAGCAGAAAATGGAAACTACTGTAGTAT